TGTACACTGACGCTTTGTAAAGAAATTTAATTAAAAAAATGAAATTTCTAAAATTTTGTATATTGGAAATATAAATATAATTTCTTTTATGAATATTAAACCGATATCGACGACTAAATGTCGTGTCAAACACTAGCACGTTGAACCGATCGTATGTTAAAAATATTAGTTTCTTACATTTTCTTCATTAATTTGAAATTCTGTTAACTGTATTGTTTCCTATTAATTACCGACATTGTAACCTAATATGAATTTAAAATTTTCTTGAAACAAAGAATAATTCATAGCAAATGTCATAAAACAATTCTTTAAACTGATTTTAAACTGAATTAAACGTTAAATAATGGTTAATAAGATGTCTAATACCTTTGATCAGGTATATCAAAATTTTTACATACGTATATATATTCTGCTTTTTTTGTATTTTTTTATTTATTTAATACAGTTTTGTTCAAAACTTATTCGAAAAAACGACAATATTTAAATATATGTGTACATATATATATATACAATATGTACAATATACTAGTACAATATAAATACAATATAAAGATTACGATTATTTTAAAACCGTAATTAATGAGTCAAAAATGTTATGAAACACTGTTATGAAAAAAATCATTTTGATTTTTTAATCTAAAAATTCTGTTATTATCATAATAATTTCACGATGTCCCCTTTTTAAAAAAAGTTTGTTTACATCAACATTTTGCATATATTGTTTTCAATTTTAATGTATTCGCTATAGTTATGTCTTTGTATGTTATATGTTTTGTATTTTATTTTTTTAATTTTTATATTTTATTACTAATGATGAAGTATGCGTTAAAGATCTAATAAACCCCACTCATTATATAGTGGGAGTCTTTTTATCATTAACTGTTTAAAACTCTCGTTTTTTGGATATATAAAAGTACCAGTACTTATTATCTCATTCAAATCTGTCTTAGTCTGACAGCGCAGCATATACGGTAAAACCGTGAAGGATGTTATCATTTCAAAGCTAGCCTTTCGCTTTAGGATAGCTTTCAGTTCCTTCATGGTGGGCGCTTCCGTTTTGCAGTTCAATTGCTTCATAGTCGTTGTCAAGGTATCAAGGTATTCACTTAATAGAACATCTCTCTTGTATTCAATGACATCGAAGGAAGTACTTGAATTGAGAAAATAGAGAAGATCGAATGCGGGCGATGTATAGACGCACATTTGAAAGTCTATCTGTAATCAAACGAATTTTTTTTATCTTTTGAGTCAATTAGATTGGAAATGAAATTTACAAAAGAAGTAGAACGTCATTTAATGTCATTCAATAATATAAGTTAGATTTCGTGTAAGTGCAAATTGAATTTCACAAATTTTTATGTTTAATCTTAATTGAATCATAAAGCTGCGATTACAGTAAATCAATGAGTACCTACTCGTATTCAGAGGAAGTACATAATTTTTTAATAAGATGACAGTACTTACTAAAATGTAATCGATCGGTATTCCATCGTTATTATATTTGAACAATATATTATTCATTTGAAAATCACCGTGATTAATAACATTAAATTCATTCTCGAACAGCTTGCTTGCATTTATTCCAATTTGATATATGTGATCGGAAAGTTTAGCAATTTTTTCCGAATATCTAACAATAAAAGTCACATAAAGTTGCACAAAATCATGTACAAACTATACAAATATCTGCTCTAAATAGTACAATTTATACTTATATTTGCAATTTTCTAGTTAGCATGTTTCTTCATGTTAAATACTTACCTTGAATCATATAAAACATTATTATGAATATTAAAAAATAGAGCAATGAATACTGTTTATGCAAATCTTACTTTTTTACTTCTGGCCAATTTGCAATCTCGTCTGCTAAAGCTTTAGTACTCTTAATGAAAATATTTTTCATTTCTGGCGGATGCTGTTTGTTGAATATTCCTTTCAAATACATCTCTTTTTGTTTTGGTTCCTAAATATTAAAACATTTTTATTAGAAGATACGCAATTCGGGCAATACGCGGTATTATCACTATTGAACACGACGGAGTTTTTTTCATAAACAAAAACTACATAGGATATAATGAAAGGCGCAGCATTTTAAGTTTTAATATATAGCATCAAAATTCTTGTGTTTAATATTACAAAAAATTAAAAATTCTTTATAGGGGAGTATATAAGCTGTATTAAGTATACGTTATTCTAAAATCTAAAACTTTACAAATTTCACTGAAAATGATTTCTTGGCAGTACTTTTTGTAATATATAAAATTTAATATGTTGTGCCACACTTCAAGTTAATTTTTATTATATGTAACTTTTGAATATTTTTGATTACAATATATCATATTTTTAATAGATATTTCGAAGAATACAGCGCAAAAAAGAATCTCATACCAGTGAGATGATCATGAATCAAAGTGATATTTTATATATAATTTTTATGTTTAGTATTGAGATCTTAAACAAAAATTTGGATTTTGGACATGGTCTTTGTATCCGTGCTATTGACCTGAATTCTTAATAATTGTAACAAGACATTATAACTGATTATTAGTCATATGTGATGATTTACCTTCTCGCATAGGGATACGGAGGCTGCATGAAACCTGGCTAGTCCGCGAAATGCCAATACGGAATGGGCTAGATCAAGACCAGACGAACGATCGGCCATTCGAAAACCTAGAGGCGCAAGATCTTCGATCACTAAAAGCATTGGATTTTCATTTTGCACGTAGAGAATTTTCCCACTCAAGCGATGGTTTGGCTCTAACAACTTATTCATTTTATCCAAAGTGTCTGTCATCATCAATGCCTCATTGTGAAAGTAACCTGATTGTGTGACCTATAAATTTATTTAAAATCAATAAATGGAATTTTTTGTTTATGGAACATATATGATGGAATTCTTTTAATTTAAATATTTTAATATTCAATTCTTTTTGTAATATGAAGACCTATAATATATAAAAAATATTTGTAATAAAAAGGTTCAGCTTTTCGAATGGCAAATAAATTATAACTTTATTCTACATATAAATTTATTTTCAAACAACTGAAACATGTTTTTTTCAAATATGGTCTGTATAAATTTATCTGAGATAAAATCTGCCACAATTTAATTTCTCTCTTTTTTCTCTTTCTATATTAGAAATATTATATAAATTAAATACTTACAAGTTTCTTTCGATTACCTTCGAGTACAGGTGAGATTTTAATAATGATTGATTTCTTCTTTGTATTCTTAAAGCCACCCTGATTACAAGAAAAGTCGGCAATTATCCTGATTATGTCACTAGTGTAGTTGTCACCCTTGCTCGTGGCTGGTTCTGAACATATATTAGTTACTTGGATCGAATTATCACTTTCCGAATTTCGCAGGATCTTCTCTACAAAGCAAATATTCAGCCATGTCGATGTTTCTTGAGCCATTTCTGAAATTGGAATTGGAATTGGAGAATTTTTTCGACAAATTACTTCTCTCGCCGCGTAACAAAACGCAAAAACGACTCTTTACGATAACTGATTGGTCGGCAAAAAATCGCGTTCTCGTTCTCTTTTTCCAGTTGCTCCTTCCACTCATTCAAGTTTTTCCATGAACTAAGATAAGATAATGACACTTCAGATTATAAGATTATTTTTATTTTGTAATTTGATGTGGAAACGTATTGGGAACGTATAATGCTGAGAATATATACACATGCTTTGCTCAGTGTAAGTAAGCGTGAAAACTAACGAAATGAGAAAGCAGAACTAACAAAGAGTCGCAAACCTAGGTAGGAGGAGAACTTCTGTGGAAAAGGAGAAGGGGTATAACAAACATGTAACAATGTTTAAGATAAGAAGGTATATGCTCTTCCGATACCGGTAATACGGAAACGGTTTATACAAACCGTTTCTTTTTCCTTATTTACTATGAATTCACTCGGACAGTGCAGTAATAATTCTTACTCTAAAAGTGAAGCCGGAATTAGACTACACATTAAAAATTAAGATTGAAGATTAAAAATTAAAATTTAGCCAATGAGGACAAAAAATTTTAGGTTTTCTTGTTTCGATTGTTCAAATTTCAATCTTTCAATCTTCAATCTCAATTTTCAATACGCGTAATATCGGAAAGTTAATTATTACTGGCCAGAAAAACTATGCAGCACTTGCGATAACTTAAATTCAATATATAAAATTTTCTATCTGGGATTATATAATATTAACCGATTATAATAATTGTACGTAAATAATAATTGTATATTATAATAATTGTAACGTAATGCTTGCGAATAAAAACTCAAAATATGAATTTAACTGACCAGTAAAAATGTTTAAGAATGTTTCCTTCTTTAAATATTTGAGCAACAATTTGCAATTTCAAACTTAGCAAAAAATTGGAAAAAATTAGGTACAAAAATTAAGTAGGCTATATAGGGTCCCATTATCTTATTATATTAACAATTACATAATATTTTTCAATTTATATTTTGCTCTTTTATTTATATTTGTATTTCCATTTTTATATTTTATCACTAAAAGGTAAAGTATACATTAGAGATCCAATAAACCCCATTCGTCATACAGTGGCAGTCTTTTTATCATCAACTTTTTATAAATCTCGCTCTTGATACCTGGATTTATACCAGTGCTCAATAATTCATCCAAATCTTTTGCCTCAGTTTTACAGCACAGCATAAATGGTAAAACGACGAAGAATATTATCATTCCATAGTCAGCTTTTTGCTTCATGGTAGCTTTCAATTCCTTCATAGTAGGCGGCGGCGTCTTGCAATTCAATTCCTTCATAGTCGCCGACAAGGTGCTAAAATATTCATTTAATAGAATATTTTTCTTGTTTTCCATAATATCCAAGGAAGGACTTGTATTGAGAAAAAATAATAAATCGAGTGCCGGCGTTGCGTAAACGCACATTTGGAAGTCTACCTGTAATCAAATGACTCTGTCTTATCGATTAATCTTTCGAGCTCTCGACAAAATATTGAATTGGAAATGAAATCTATTCATTCCGAAAGTGAGACGTCATGTTTAGAAATATTATAATTAGAAATTTCTGCAACAAGGTTTATACATTTATAAATTTGTGCAGAACTTGACAGAAGAGACTTGGACAGAAAAGCGACGAGTATAACTGAATGCGATTAAACGTCTGAAATCATTGCATTATTCATACATATTACATTTCTAAGTTTCTCCTATTATCACACCGCCTATTTGATTGCTAAATCCGACATTGTCGATAATTAAAAAATTTGTACTACAATTTTTGTTTTAAAATCTATTTATTTAATTAATTTTTTTTATATATTTTTATTTAAATTTGTTATTATTGCATACAAATATAAAAATTATCATAAAAATTCAGAAATGTAGATAAGTAGATTAATGGAATAAAATAACTGAACTTACATTTAATTGTATTCATGATAAAATTTCCATTTGTCTAAATTGAAAAAGTATATTTTCAACGTAAATATGATAATACTTACAAAAATATGATCAATAGGTTTTTCTTCATTATTATATCTGAACAACATATTGTTCACATGAAAATCACCGTGAATAATAACATTAAATTCTTCTTTACAAAGCTTTGTTGCATCAATTCCTATTTGATATATGTGATCGGAGAGTTTAGCTATTTTTTCCGAGTATCTAGCAATACAAATAAAATAAATGCAAAATTGTATGAAATTATGTAAAAGCCGTATAAATTCACTATGAGCAGCATACTATAATATGTATAATGTTTGTATTTACCATTTTCTGTTTAATGATCAGTTTTTTTATATTAAATATTTATCTTATATCATATAAAATGTTATTATATATATTAAAAAATAGAGCAATGAATATTATCGTTTACGCAAATCTTACTGTTTTACTTCAGGCCAATGTGCAATCTCTTCTGCTAAACCTTTAGTACACTTAATGAAAATATCCTTCATTTCTGATGATTGTTGCTTGTTAAATTGTCCTTTCGAATACATTCCTTTTTGCTTTGGTTCCTAAATATTAAAATATTGTTATTAAAGACCATTTATACATTTGATTATAAATTGTTAAATAATAGTGTGAATTGGAAATTTGAAATGTTATATAGATCAAAATATACAAAAAATCTACGATAATTTTAATATTATGCAATTTTCTGACAAATTTAAAGCAAATCTTTTTTTTTTAAAGAAAATTATGATATAGCCCAGACAATACACATATCAAAAAGACATTCTGAAAGAGAATAGTCCTTGCATTTGTGCCATGATCTGAGTTGTTATTAATGCAACGAGATGTTACGACTGATTGTTAGTATCGCTTAGTGATTTACTTTCTCGCATAGGGCTACGGAGGCTGCATGAAATCTGGCAAGATTGCGAAGCGCCAATATGGAATGATCTAGGTCAAGACCAGACAAACGATTGGCCATTCGAAAGCCGAGAGACGTGAGATCTTCGATAGCCAGAAGCATTGGATTTTCATTTTGCACATAGAGAGTCTTCCCGCTCAAGCGATACTTTGGCTCTAACAACTTATTCATTTTATTCAATGTATTTGACATCATCGACATTTCGGTGTGAAAAAGACCTGATTCTATGACCTGTAACAAATTTATTTAAGGTTAATAAATAGAATCTTTTAATTTAACAAATATGCAATTATTTTTTTATATAAAGACCTGTATATAAGATTTGTGTATTAGAAATTTTCAAATTTTAAATTCGTCTTTAAACAAATAAAAACTATTTTTTTAATATACATGCATGTGTATCCGCTTCTTTAAAAACGATTTATAAAAATAATTTAATTTTAATTACTGATCACCCAAGAATAATTATCCTAATCTTTCTGTTGAATAGAAATGTACTCCAAAACAATAAAACTTTCCACAGATTTATCCATCTTTCTCTCTCTCTGTTTCTCTTTTCCTTCCTTTTTTTTCTCTAAATTCGAAATATTGTACACATTAAAGCAACTTACCAATTTTTGTCGGATACTTCCGAGTTTAGGCAAGATTTTAAGGATAATTGATATTTTCTCTTTAATACTACAGCTGCCTTGATCACGCGAGTATTTGGCAATAATCCTAATCATATCACTGGTGTAGTTGTCACCTTTGCTCGTGGCTGGTTCCGAACATATATCGATCATCTGGATCGAGTTATCATCTTCCGATTTTCGCAGAATCTTTTCCACGAAGCTTAGATTCAGCCATGTCAATGTCTCTAGCGCCATTTCTGAAAGTAGAATTGGAATTGAAGAATTTTTTGACAAATCATTGTTCTTGCCATCATACTAAAAAGATGATATTTACAATAATTTATTTGAATGAAATTTATTATGTTTTCTTTTTCTTTTTTTTAGGCGATTTTTAACAAACACTTGTTTCGATCTTTCCATTTTTTCCTTTATCTATCCTCGCTATTTTTTTTGATAGTTTATTTTATTCGCTTTATCATCGTTTCTTTCTTTGTGTCCGTTCATATTTCAGACGGACGTATTTTCTTACATTTGAGATCAACGTGTCAATTAAGAACGTAAACCGTTTTTCTTTGCTTTTTTTAGTTAACGTCATACATGTACGTTGAGATCTAGTCGATTGTATTATAATACTTGTGATATATACGAAAAAGTTTCGACAAGTCTGGCGCGTATCAGGGATTTCATTTAATTTTTTATTCATTTTAATAAATCTTGATTAAGTTAACGTTCAATTTGTTGTTTATTGATTTATTATTTGGATCCTTATACATTGTTGTAATAACAAAATGTGATGTTCATGTAATGTAGGATTATACTATACTGATAATATTTCATATCCTTCTTCCTATTCCATGGTCGCAATCTTTCTTTTCTGTTCAATTTTTTGTAAATTGCGAATAAAAAAGATAAAATTAAATCTTCTAATAGTTAGCGCTGTAATTAGTGCACTAATTATTCATTACAAAAAATTATATTTAACGTTGTTTTAAAAATTACTATTTGACATTTAGTCATATAATAAAAGACGATCAAGTCATATAATAAAACGCATACTTCGACTGTTTCTTTAACTTTTATGAACACAGTAAAAATGTAGATACAAATTGTCTTCATCTCATAACTAATAGAAAGTTGAATGGTCTCAAGTAAGAGTTCAAATTAATTCTATGAAGTCCTTAAAATTAATTCCATCATGTAAAAGATAATTGATCGGGATAAATTAAAGATATGACCAAATATAACTTCAGAAGCGCAGACGGCACTCAAAAAATATATCAAAGAAACGCACGGTTCTTCTATTTAAAAAAAAGCATAATGCAATGAAGAACTGAATACGATACGGAACTGAAATTATAACAATTTTGTGTGATAGAGTAATTTGTAATCTAAATCATTAAGATCAGAATGATCAAAGAAAAAAATATTATTAGAAAATATAAATAATTAGTAAACATGTAACAATAAGCGACAATGATACACTATTGATTACGCAATTCCATATGAATTGAAATTAATGAATTGCCATTCTTTTATCGCTTATTATTATATAGTTATTTCTGAAATCAGTCGTTTCTTATAACTTTGTTCAACATCTAACATTTTAACATAATTTCATTTAAAATCATGATACAATCTGTAATAATTCTCTAACAACGAATGAGTAGCTGTATTTCTTCTGATGTAAGTTCTGATGTGCGTTCAGTAATTCTGGTCTTCAACTGCGTCTACTAGCTTGTCCGACATACAATGACTGAGTGTAACACTATTAACGCTATTTATGTCCCTTTATTTTCATCATCCATTAGACACGTACAAGAATAGCATGATACAAATAGCACTGATAGCGTGTTCCCCGAATGCACCTATTTCATCACAGTTTTTTTTATAGAATATTTTATGAACATTTTTTTTTTTAGATATGCAGGTGGGTCTTTTAATAGTGTATTCATGCGGTTAAAATCTTCATATCTGCGAATCTCTCGAAATAACTGCATTAACTGAATATTTGTCTTCTACAAAGCTTATGCTTAATATATGTCCAAATATTTTCAGTAGAATTTGCATCAGGCGAATAATCAAATTGATTAATGCCAAATTTAAGATTATTATCATGTAGTCAATCAATTATCGATGCTGGTGTCTGAATGCGTTATTAACATAATTGCGTTTTAGCTCTAATCAAATATAACGTATCTACGTACACCACCTTAAAATTTTATTAATATACACTCATTTGAATTAAATTAATTTTCAGAAATATTTTATTTAAAATTTTCCTAAATAATCTCTGACTGAATATCAGCGTCAGAAAGAAAACAAAGGGTTGATAATGATGAAGGATTGATCAACATAATAAAAGTGGCTAACCTGTAAGTTATTCGTCTTTGACTTCAGTTGTTTATTTCCCTTAAACACTTGTTTCACTATGCCGTTTTCTGAAGCCAGTCTCAAAATGATACATACAGAACAGAAGTGCTTTATATATAACTACAGGCTTTATATATAACTACATTAGTACATCCATTTATTCATTCATCACAGGCTTTGTACCTGCATTAAAGTCTTAGGTAACTGCAGAAGCTTGTTCAATATTAAACTCATGCAGATTTATCTTTCAATCAAGCAATAAACCCAATGGAAATAAAGGAACGATGAAAAACAAATACCTATGTGATATTTTTTTGTTCAACAAATAATTAGCGTTATCAAAAAGAATTGGATAGTAACCATTACGATATTCGTACAAGTCATCGTTACTTACATATTTTTGTAAAGTTTTTATCTTTATCGCGATGAATAAATTATGAAAAAATTCCACAATAATATGGCAGCATGGACAATAATGTTGATTCGACATCGATTTCATTATTATTTCTCACTGGATATGATACAGTTCAAAGTATATAGCGAGAGTTATTATTCAAACGAAAGAAAAATTTCGTATTAACCAAAAATAATATTGCAGAACAATTATGAATCCTATTTTTTATCGTGTTTCGATTTGAAACACGATAAAGATTTGTTTCATTCAAAATGATTGAACTATTAAACATCTGTAATATATAATTGTCATCTCGATCCATTTAAGGAATCAGCTAACAACCGTGCCAACCAGTAATTGTGTACAGTGAACGATTGTATAAAATATGACGTTTCGTATTATATAGCACTTATCACAATTACGTTCTGAAAAACAAAAAAAAACATTGAAGATAGAAGAAGTGGCACTGTTCTGCCGAAATAAGAATTTAAAGTTAAATGACGGCACATCGACAGTGCATAAACACAATGCGTCGCACAGAAACCAAGATCATCAGCTAATCGTAGCTGATAATCAAAAAATTTGTTGTTTTGTAAAATATCTATCAAATATTTTGTTCCAAATTAATTTCACTTAATTATTGTACATTTTCTGTTTTATTTTATGAATCGTTTGACATTACTTAATATATATTTGCTGCAAATTGTACGCATTGGGGGAGGGGAATTATCGCTGGCTAAAAAAGCAAGTGCAACACTTCAAACAAGCGCGACAGTTCAAATCAAATTTAATATTAAAATAAATTTAATATTAACAATTAATTTTTAAAATACACTATACCAGAATGGTAAAATTCAATTTCTCTTGCGTCATTCCCTACCGAACTTATAATCTAATCTTATTCTGCATTACCGGTAACACATGTCCCTGTCAATAGGCAGATAGGCAACTCGATTTACTGATGTGTATGTTACGGAAGCATCCTGCATTGAGACTTCGTCGAATGTGATATTTGTGATATATGTATGAAAAATTTTTGACACTCGTGATGCGTTGTGATCATGTATCCAAAATTCCAATTAATTTTTTATTTTTAAAAATAAATCTTAATATTAATGAAATTCAATTTATTGTTTATTGTTTATTGGTTTATCATTTGGTCTAATCTTTATATACTCCTCTGATGAGAACTATAATGAGAATCATATAATAAATCACGGAAGTTTCGGCTACTTTCTAGTCTTTATAAGCGCAGTAAAAATGTAGAGCCAAATTGTTGCAGTCAGTTAAATTATTATATTATGTAATCTATTAACTCAATAGATAGAATAAATAATCTCCTGTTTTCATGTTATTCATCCCAAAAAACAAAACAGGACGTTTCTATCTCATAATTAATTAAAAGGCTGGGTGGTCTCAAATAAGTGGAATCTTCGAAATTAAATCCATCGTGTAAAAGAAAATTGATCGGAATAAATTAAGCGTAAAGCATGATCTCAGAAACGCAGATGGATGTACTTGACAAAAAATATATCAAAAGAATTTGTACAATCCACCTATTTAAAATAAAGAACATTATACGATAAGACAGATCCGAGATTATGTACATGACCGTTATACATGTATACATAGAATAAATATCTATAAATCATCGTTGAGATTAGAAAGAGTAAAAAAAATATTATATTAGAAAACATAAATGATTAATGAATATCTAAGTAACAATGATACACTATTGGTTAAGTAATTCCATGTATAAATTTAAATTAATACCGTTTTTTTACCGTTTAATTACTACTATATAGGTATTTCTGAAATCAATCATTTATTGTATTTCGTTCAACATCTAAAATTTTAACATGATCCCCTTTAAAATCATGATCATGATACAACCTGTGATAATTCAGTAACAACCGAATGAGTAGCTGTATTTCTCCTGATGTAAATTCTGATGTGTGTTCAGAAACTCTGGTCTTCAACTGCATCTATTAGTTCGTCCGACATACAATGGCTGCGTTCGGGGTGACGCTATTAGAGCTATTTGTGGCATTTTATCTTCATCGTCCATTAGACGCAAGGATATAGTATGACAATAATAGCGCTGATATAGCTGATATAGTTTCCTGAACACATCCATTGCGTCACAGTTTTTGCAGAATATTTTATGAACAACGTTTATTTTTTTAAGAAAAAGGCAAAGAGTTTTTTTGAGAGTTATAATTTTAAATCAGATGACGTTGAAACTTTATATGTTGAGCTAATTTAAATTACAAGAAACGACAAATTTTAGAAATTATAAATATTTTGTTGATATGTAAGATCATTTAAAAGAAAAGTTATTTATAAAACATTATTTGTATGACTTTAAATTTGTCTATAAAACAAATGAAAATATGCTAAAAACTTTCCAGTAAATATCAACTAAAGGAAGTATAACTTCAATGTTAGAAAATAAATCAACTAATTGTATGTAAAAAAAGAAACGTCAATTACAGTTGAAATTAAATGTAAAAATAATACATCTATAAGTAAATATTTTTAATAAATTTAAGTCAAGTATATGATGTAACTGCGCTGATTACTTTCGGACTTGCAACACAATCAAACTGAAATAGTAGTATTCCTCCCAAATTAAATTAGATCTTCAATTTAGTGCTACTAGCATTATAAAGAACATTACGAAAAATGTTACCTCAACTAAGATTTTATTCTTTTAATTTAATGTTTTACAATGTAAATGTAATGTATTATAATTTATATAACTCATGTATCATAACAGTTACAGTTGTTGAATTGTGAAATTATGAAATTATTAATATTAATAATTTTATAATTTCACAATTCAACAACTGTAACTGTTATAATACATAATGTGTGTCATTTCTAATAAATGTTTAATGTATTATACTCGTTTATAATGTTTGTACGTTATGTATGCATAATAATGTTTGCAATTTAAACTCTTTTTCTCTCTAGAATTTCTGCCGCGATTTCTGCCGACATTAAAATAGACTGACATTCAGACAACAAACAAAGTCTATAGAAGACATCTTTATGATACTTTTAGATTTATATCTCAAAAGACGTTTTAATGATGTGATTGTCTTTATGACATCTGTATGTCATAAAGACATACATATTGCCTGGAATATTTTTTTATTTCCTAAAGTGAAATTTACAGTGAAAAGGAAGGGATTCGAAGATCTGCTATCGATTCAACATACTAAAGAAAGAATCGAGGGTGATTCAGAAAGAGAAACTTTATCAAACAATCGTTGTATATGCGATGTAAACATTGTTAGGAAGTGGACGGAAATTGTATTGAATGCGATGACACATATTAATAAATATTTTTAATCTTTTACATGTTTTTTATGATTTCAATCTGAGAACATAATTACAACGTTATGTAAAATTATATATTAAAGAAATTACTAAACTTTTTTTATTTACGAGTATGTACACACACATACAATCTAATAAAAACATAATTAGGTAATTTATAGAAAAATTTAGCTAATAAATTTTAAAACACAGAGATGCTTTTTATTTGATTAAAGGTAAAATTCAATTATATTAATAATGTCCAATCACCAACGTCGAAAATGACATCTCCACTATACTTTACATTAAGTTAATAGTGCATTCGTGCGGCAAACATTTCCGACTTTAATATTAAAAATTTGCTATTAATAATCCAAATAATCAGTTACAATTAATTACAGTAATTGTACGTTACATAGTTCTAGCACATAAAAAATCAGAATATGAATTAAATTGATGGTCAGCAGAATAAGATGTTTAGAAATGTTTTTAAAATTAACCATCAATTTGCAATTTTGGACTCAGTAAATAATCACAAAACATGGGTATAGAATCCGGTTATTTTATTACTTATTATTTTGTAATATTTTTTCAATTTTTCTTACGCACATTTTTTGCTAATACAAACTAAAATATTTTATTTGATATCTTAATTAATTTGTACAATATTTTTACATTAGTATAATAGAATAATATTATATTCTGTTTCTATAATTTTAATGTACTTATCATTGTTAAAACTATTTGCATCTAATATCTTTATTTATTAGATTTCTATTTATTTTCTATTTTAATTTTCTATTATTGAATAGAAGTGTATACATTAAAGATCTAGTAAACCCCACTCGTCATACAGTGGCAGTCTTCTTATCAATATTTTTTTATAACTCTCATTCTTTAAACCTGGATTTATATAAGTACCAGTGCCCAACATTTCATCCAAATCTTTCGCCTCAGCTTTATGGCATAGCATAAACTGTAAACAGGTAAAAGATGTCATCATTCCATAGCTAGCTTTTCGTTTTAGAGCAGCCTTTAATTCCTTCATGGTGGGCGGTTGCGTTTTACAGTTCAACTGCTTCATAGTCGTTGACAAGGTGCTAAGATATTCATTTAATAAAATATCTCTCTTATTTTCAATGACATCGAAGGAAATACTTGAATTGAGAAAATAGAGAAGATCGAGTGCCGGCGATGCGTAGACGCATAATTGAAAGTCTACCTACAATAGAATAAATTTTTTTAATCGTCAATTTTTTATGTCTACGGCAATTGTTTGGAGATAAAACCTGTATATCAGGCAAGAAATGAGACATCATGTTTAGGAAGTCGCGAAGACAAAGATAGTAGTTTACATAGATGACATGGGCAAACGAATATGCCTGCATGCGCAATTAAACTGGATAGGTATATTGCATTTATTCAAAATACATTCCATTTTTAAGTATTTCATATATTATCACTGTCTGTTTATCTTGATTGCTTAAGCTGAAATTGTGGATGATTAAATTGCGCTAAAATGTACTTACCGTAGTAGTATTTCTCGAAACATTATTTATTTATTTAATATATCGTTGATATATTGTACAAATTTATATATGAAAATTATAATAACTATTCAGAAATATAGATAATTAAAATGTAATAATTGAGCTATGTTAAACTGTGTTTGTAATAAAATTCACATAATTGATAATTATAAATATAAAAGATACTTATAAGTATAATAGATTTTTAAAGTAAATTTAATCTTTTAACAATATATCATATAAAAGTATAAACTAAAAATTTAATGAATTATTTTATTTAATTTTAGTTCTTAGTCGCAAGATAAAGTCGTGAATATAATAAATTAATGAGCATGTTTAGAGTAAGTATATCATTTTTTATAACTTAGTGGTACTTACAAAAATCTGATCAGTAGGCTTGCCATTATTGTCATATCTGAACAACATATTGTTTACGTGTGAATCACCATGATTAATAACATTAAATTCGTCCTTACAGACCTTAAATGCATTCACTCCTAATTGATATATGTGATCGGAGAGTTTAGCAATTTTTTCCGAATATCTGATAATAAAAATCAAATAAATTTGAAATTATATGAAAGCATGTAAAAGTAATATAAATATTTTCTTTAAACGATGCAACTTATACTTATATTATATATAATTTTCTTTTTAACATGTTCTCCCTTTTTATATTACTTTTTTTGTATCATAAAATATCTTAAACATTAAAAAGTAGAGCAATAAACATTGTCTTAATTAAATCTTACTTTTTTACTTCCGGCCAGTTCACAATCTCGTCTGCTAAAGCTTTAGTACTCTTAATGAAAATATCTTTCATTTCTGGCGGATGCTGGCTATTAATTATTCCTTTCAAATACATCTCTTTTTGCTTTGGCTCCTAAATATTAAAATATTTATATTAAAGAATTTGTATTAAAAAAGATAAATAATTATGTCCGTAGTGCAAACTAAAAATTTTCAGTGCCATATATGTAGATCTAGATATACAAAAAAATTTACACAATAACTATAATATCATGAAATTTTCTAACAAATTTAGAACTGATCGTTTTTTAGAGAAAATTATGACATAGCCCAGACAATACAAATGTCGACATTCTAAAGGAGACTAATTCTTGTATTCATTCATCTAAATTCTTAATAATGCAATGAGATGTTGCGATTGATTGTGAGTTATGCGTGGTGATTTACCTTCTCGCATAGGGCTACGGAGGCTGCGTGAAACCTGGCAAGACCGCGAAGCGCCAATATGGAATGATCTAAGTCAAGACCAGACAAGCGATCAGCCATTCGAAAACCGAGAGATGCGAGATCTTCGATCACCAGAAGCGTTGGATTTTCATTTTGCACGTAGAGAATCTTCGCGCTTAAGCGGTGCTTCGGTCCTAATAACTTATTCATTTTATCCAGAGTATCTGACATCATCAACATCTCGATATGGAAGACATCCATTTCTATGATCTGTGATAAGTTTATTTAATATAAACAAGTGAAATTCTTTAATTTAACAAGCATGAAATTATTTGTGATATAAAAACCTATACAAAGACCCATATAAAATTTTTGTGTAAAAACTTTTAAGATTTGTTTGTTTTGAAACATTTTCTTTAAATATATGTATGTATATGTCGCTTTTAAACTTAACTCATAAAAATAATTTTCTTTTAGGAGGTTTCTATTTTTTGGGCGAAAAAAGTTGATTCTATTGAAAATGTTTTTAACAAAACTATAAAGTCATTATATTTGAATTCTGGAATATTGTTTTATTATGTTTAAATGTTATTATAGTTATTTCTTTATTAAATTTGATCAAAAATTACGCCTGTTAGCTCTCCTCAAACATGGTGCTGTCTCCGACTAATTAACAAGCTATTTTTGCTTCAGATCATCTGAAATATTCTAAAATATAAAAGTTTGATGTATACTGTTTAATTTTTTTATACATATATTTATCGTTTAATAAACAAGCAAAAAATTAATGGTTGAGAAAATGGCGACTTGTCAAATGTAAATCATTAATTTCGCTCTAAAAATTATCATTTATTTTACAATAAAAATAAAAAGAGTATATAAAAGTATATAACGGATAGTTTTTTTTATTAAACGATAATTATATGTATACAAGTATAAAATTAAATGCTATCAAATTTTTACATTTTAAATTATCTAGATGGAAGATATCTTGCGAACCAGTGACAAAAGCGGTACTATACATATATTTTAGGAAAGATAGCAGAGACATAATTTTGATCGAAATTAATAAAAAACTGTTACTTTAACTTACATTTAAGTATAACAAAACAACATTTTAGAATTCAAATGTTTTGTCTCGTATATACTTTTGTTAAAAAGAAATTCCCAAAAAAATCGACTTTTTTCATTTAAGAAATAGGAATACTTTAATTACTGTTTACATAAAAATATTCTAATCTTTCTGTAAAACAAAAATGTATTCCAAAATAATAAAATTTGCCACAATTATAACTCTCTCTTTCTTTCTCTCTCTCTCTCTCTCTCTCTCTCTCTCTCTCTCTCTCTCTTTCTCTATCCTTTTTTTATATTAGAAACATTATACATGTTATATTAACTTTTTTTCTTCTCTATATGAGAGAAACATTGTGCATATTAAATTAATTACCAGTTTCTGTCGAACACTTTCAAGTACAGGTGAGACTTTGATAACAATTGATTTTTTCTCTTTGATCATAGAGCTGCGCGAAAATTCGACAGTAATCCTAATCATGTCGCTGAGATAGTTGTCGCCCTTCATTGTGGCCGGTTTTGAAAATACATCGATCACTTGAATTGAATTGTCGTTTTCCGACTTTCGCAGAATCTTCTCCATGAAGCATTTGTTTAACCATGTTTGTTTAACCGATGTTTCTAGAGCCATTTCTAAAAGAAGTGGAATTGGAATTGGAGAATTTTCTCGATAAATCATTGTTCTTCCTATTGTGTTACAAAATACGAAAACAATTTTTTACCATAACTCATTCGCGACAAAATTTATCACGTTTTTTTTTTCTTTCAATAGGCTTCCGCATTCATAAATTAGGGTAAAAATTTTTTTCTCAGAGTATAAATAATTTGAATGTTTAAATTTTTGTGTCTCCATTGTATAAGATATATAGTATAATATTGTATTTCTTGTTAATTTAAAATAGCGAAACAATTTTTACTGTATTGACAAGTTGAAGCAATATATTATATTAGGTCGAGGAAAAGTTTTTCGTATTTTTTAATTTAAAATTATATGTACAATATCTTTGTCAAAAATGAACAAAATTTGAATTTAAAAAAAAAGATTTTAAAGCTTGAAATCTCTACTTTCGAAAGATTACTATATTTTTTTAGTTTTTGTGAGTTTGGTAATTTTTATATTTAAAAAACTACAAGAAACAAAAAGATGAAAAATTTTTTTTCACTTTCTCTCACGTGTCCAAAAAAAATTTACGAAAATATTCGACTACCTATCGTGAAAGTTTGCAGCTTTCCCTACAAAATTATTTTTAAAAATGTTCCTATAATTTTTTATTTCTGAATTATTCGCGAATTAGTAAAGGAGCATTCTAACTTTGATTGCTCATAATTCGGATAAAAATTATCATACTGCAATTTAAAAAAATAGATTTTTGAAGCTGAAACTTTGCTCTAGCGAATAATATAACGAAGATTGTAACGTAAATTTTGCAACAAATGAAAAACTTTTGCAAAAAAATTTTTTTAAATACGAAGAAACCTTTTTCCTGACCTAATATTTATTAAAGGACCTATAATCTTTAGATACATAGGAATAGTTATCATTTACATTAGAATTTTGTATTAGATGTTCGATTTTTGCATTATTTTATATCAGAATGTAGAATCATTTAAAGAAAAAATTATTTATAGAAAATTATATTTATATAATTCTAAAGTTATTTCTAAAAATACTATCCTAAGTAAAATTATTCTAAATAAAATTGTTTAAAAACTTCTCACTACATAAACATCAATTAAAAATATATATATATATATAACATACAACATCGATGTTATAATTTTACATTTTACAGTTTAAATATAATATAACACGTATATTACATATCAATGTAAAATTATATCTATTGTTAAGGTTATATTATTTTTAATAAATATTTTCTGTTTTACTTATTCGTAACGTTTATGAGTTGCATAATGTTTGTAATTTAAACTCCTCTTTTCTCAAGAATACAATTCATGCTAGCGTTAAATTACTAGACAACGAACAATGTCTAAAAGATGTCTTTATGATGCCTTCTAGATATTTTAGACATTTATGTCCCAGAAGACATCTTTACAATGTCTTCACGACGTCTTTCAGATATGCATGTTGTCTAGAACATTTCTTATTTCTTAAATTGAAATTTACAATAAAAAGGGATTTAACAACGTGTTATTAATCCAACGTACAGATGAGAGAATTAAAGGCGAATCAGGAGAAGAGTTGTTTCGAATATTCGATTCGTTATACATTTAAGTGATGTAAACATTGGTCTGAAGAAGACTATATCTCAGATGGTGATAGATATTAATAAATATTCTCAATTCTTTTTATATTTTTTTATGGTTTCCATCTGCAAATTTAGTTGTCACATTGAGTGTTATGTGTCGTAGAATTCATTAAAACTTTGTATTCATATATTTTTCACACACATATCATTATGCATTATTTATCTCATATTTTTTTATGCATATACACAGTATTTCACAGTCACCGTACAATACTTTCACACTGTATTCTATAAGTAAAATAAAGTAAAAATCCTAATACAAAAATATCGACATTACAATAATTTTTTAAATTCTAAGCTAACTTTAAATACTTATATGTCAGAAATTATTTTACTTTTATTGTCTCTATCATTATTTTTGATTTCTTTGTAACCCTAAGATAAAAATACGAAAATGTCAAGGCTAATAATAGTTTTTGAATTACAAATTATCTTTGATCAATTATCGAATTCAAAAACTATTGTAGCTTTGACATTTTTGTATTAGGATTTTTTACTTTACCTCTAGAATTCACTTTGAAAATATTGTACGATGATTGTAAAACACTCTGTATATCAAAGAATTCGATATGATATTGATATGATTTGGGGGGATGTTTGAGACTTTATTAAAAATATTCTTTAATAAACTCCGATTAAATATCAGTATTAAAAGAAAAATGATCTGCTTTCTGCAGATGAACCATATTTTTACCAGAACTTAAAGTGAAATAGATATATTTGATATTTCACGGAAGTTCGAAAAAAAGTTCTATAGTCTAGATCTAATAAAGAAATAAAAAACAGACATAAAATATTAATAATAAATAATACACTAAAGTGACTAACCTGAAGTTATTCGTCTTCAAATTTAGTTCTATTTTTTTAAATGCTTGTTATATTTCCCTGTGTCGTTTCGTAAAGCTAACTACAAAATGAGACGTACAGAACAGAAGTAACAGGCTTTATATCTACATCGGTGCATTCATTTATTCATTCATCATAGGCTTTGTACCTACATTAGAGTTTTAGATAACTGTAGAAGCTTGGTAAATATTATACACATGCAGATTCCTTCAATAACGCTAACGGAAATGAAAAAACAATGATAAGACAAGTACCCTGTGCGATACTTTTTTGTTCAAAAAATAATTAACGCCATAAAAAACATCGCACAGTAAACGTTTACGACATTTGTGCAAATCATATCATTATCTCTGTTTAGTCTTTATCGATAAAGAAATTGTGAAAAAAATTTTATTATAATAGCAGCATGAACTGACAAAAAATTTCGCAATTACGATATGATGATTCGCTTTACTGCAACAGTTTTGTCAGAATAAAATTTCTAAACAATATTTGTAAAAAAGAACTGAACAATATTAATTCAAATGATATTTGTAAGAAATTAAAAAAATTCAATTTGAGATGTAAATATTTTAATAATTTACTTTTATTATCGATTCGATGTACAACGAACGAAGTTTTTCAGCTACGCAGTTACGATGATCGATACTGTAGCACAAAATCATATAAGATTCTAATTAAATATATGCTTAAAATAATTAACATGTTAAAAGATAATTTTTACACACGCATCCAATTTTTTATTCATTATACAATTAAATATTTACTAGAGGCTTGTCTTTTTATTTACGTAGAATATACATTCTAAGACGTGTTCTGATTTCTACCTTGGTATTCCTCGGATATCATGTCATTCTTATTTAACGTTTGGTAAATAATAACGATGACAACCGGGGAGCACCCAGGTGGAAATATGAACATGCTTCTACGTGATATTTTTGAGAATACATATAGAGTTTACCAGTAAAAAAAAAGTACGTAAGAGTAATAGATGTATGTGTTGTTAAAATATTTATTTCATATATTTGCAAAAAATACAAATAATGAAAATTTCGAACAGTTGCAAATTATATTTATTAATTTTGTACTTATTAAATCACAATATTAAAATAAAGCTGAAATATAATCGATATAATATACATATAATGATGTTAATATATAATAAGTAAAAGTTAATATATAATGTATAATACATAATAATAATAATATATAGGTAATACATATATATTGAAATATAGTCGATGTCAAACAACTAGTAAATTATTACATCACAGTAGTGAACAATAAAAAAATAAATTATAAACTTAAATTCAAATCAATGTGTATCGTTGGGCGCAGGGCGGCCATAAGGTAGGAGATCGGTTACAACAACACTTGCAACTGTTATTAAATAATACAAGTGCAATAGATCTAATTTGCGTTACTTGCACTTTTTGCACTCAGCATCTTCGTTTTCTCTCTTTTCACGCCCGAATATAAATTTCTCATTTTAAATACAAAAATTTTTAAGGATTTTGTGTAACGCGAAGAGATATATCCAATAAAAAATTATAAAAATTTTAAACTGCTTAAAAAAAACTCGCATGGACGCTCCTAAATGAGGGATTTACAGGACAATTCCGCAGAAATCCGGACGAATGACAGCTCTAGCTATAATTATTTATTTCTAATATTTTTATTTATTTTCTACATTTATATTTATTTTCCATTTTGATTTTCTATCACTAAATGTAAAGTAAACATTAGAGATCCAGTAAACTCCATTCGTCATATAGTGGCAGTCTTTTTATCATTAACTTTTTATAACTCTTCTCGCTCTTGAAACCTGAATTTTATACCAGTGCTCAATAATTCGTCCATATCTTTCCTCAATCCTACAGCACAACATAAACAGTAAAATGGTAAAAGATATTATCATTCCATAGCTAGCTCTTCGTTTTAGAATATCCTTCAGTTCCTTCATGGTGGTTGCGTCTTGCAGTTTAATTGCTTCATAATTGTTGATAAGGTGCCATAGTATTCATTTAATAGAATATCGCTTTTATTTTAAATGACATCGAAAGAAAGACTTGAATTGAAAAAATAGAGAAGATCAAGTGCCGGTGATGCATAGACGCATATTTGAAAGTCTACCTGCAATAAAGTAAATTTTTTTGACTGTTTTATGTCTACGTCAATTGTGTTGGAGATAAAATCTGTGCATCAGGAAAGATGTGAAACATCATGTTCAGGAAGTGACGACAAAGTTAATAGTTACATAGATGACATCGGCAAATGAATATGCCTGCATATGCAATTGAACTGGTTAAGTACATTTATACATTCTATTTTCGAGTATCTCATATATTATCACTGTCTGTTTATCTTGATTGCTCAAGCTGAAATTGTAGATGATTAAATTGTGCTACCATTTACCATAATAGTACATTTCGTTTATTTATTTATTAATTTAATTTATCGTTATGCAAATTTATATCATTGCACTTAATTATAATAAAAAAAATTATAATAAAAACTTATTGTAGATAATTGAAATAAAGTGACTAAGCTATGTTGAATTGTGTTTATAATAAATTCACATTTGTCTAATTGTAAGTATAAAAAATATATTTTTAAAGTAAATTCAAAGTTTCAGCAATATAAGCCGTACCACACAAAAGTATAATGTACTAAAAATTTCACGAATGATTTCGTTTAATCTTAGTTCTTAATCGCAAAATGAAGTCATCATTATAATAAATCAATGAGCATCCATGTTCAGAAGAAGTATATGATTTTTTATGATGTGATGGTACTTACAAAAATCTGATCAATGGGTTTGTCATTGTTGTTATATTTAAATAACAAATTGTTCGCATGACAATCACCATGATTAATAACATTAAATTCGTCTTCACAAAACTTGCGTTCAATCCTATTTGATGTATGTGATCGGCGAGTTTAGCAATTTTTTCCGAGTATCTAGCAATAAAAATTAAACTAATGTAAAATCATATGAAAGCATGTAAAAATAATGCGAATATTTGCTCTAAACTGTATAATTTATATCTACTTATATTTGCATTTTCTTTTTAACATGTTCTGTTTCTTCATATTAAATTATTATTATCTTATGTCATATATAATAAAATATCTTGAATAAAAAGTAAAGCAATAAATATTGTTATTTATGTAAATCTTTAGTACTTTTTCACTTCTAGCCAGTTGACAATCTCATCTGCTAAATCTTTAGTACTTTTAATCAAAACATCTCTCATTTCTGGTGAAAGCTGATCATTAAATATTCCTTTCGAACACATCTCTTTTTGCTTTGGTTTCTGAATAAATAATCCTATTAAAATATTTTTATTAGAAAACATTTTGATGTGTTTATCGATTTATTTTGGAGTAATATATTTACTAAAATTGCATCTGATATACGGAAAGAATTGCCGGATATTTGATTTCTAGCAATAAATCTGGCAGAAACTTTATATTAAAATGACGTGTATGTGTATAATGATACGTGAAAATTTTTTTTTATCACTGATCTAATTTTTATAAATATAGTACCAGATATATGACATATCTAGTATTCGACCCCAAATTGCGAACATTTACCAGATGAAAAATTTTAAAATATATCAGTAATAATAAAAAATTTCGTTATTATTCGTTATTCACCTTATTTCAATATAAAGTTTCGACTTGATATTTCCAGAAATCAGATATCCAGCAATACTTTCCACATATCTGATGCATCCCTAATAATTAAATTTGTTGTAATGCGGGTAAGAAATTTGGAATATCGTACAGATCAAGCTACACAAGAAATCTCCATAGTAATTTTATATACTTAATATATAATATAATTTTTTTGCAAACCTAGAGCACATCTTTTTTTGGAAAAAGACACAAGTCAGCTTAAACATCTTTAAAATTTTAAGAAGAGTTTTACTAGAACCTCTAAGCAGGTGTGCAAGTAGTGCATTGCAATGCACAAAGGTGCATTAAAACAAGAGAGTATATCAAATTAAGTTTAAAAAATACATATTTTATTTCTGACATCATTTATGAATATTCATTTGTGCCAAATTTAATTTATTTTGAAACGAATACTGTATATTAATTAAAAGAATCCGTATTACAAACGTATTTGAAATTATTAATCGGATCAGACAGTTTTTTTTATTTATTTTTCAAAGATACTAAAATCTTTCAGTACGTTCAAAACTATAATATTCCGAGCAACATCAGAAACACAAATTGAAAAACTGCATCTGTAAAAATATTTAAAACTTGTATTAAAAAGTATTTAATTTTAAAAAATTACAAAATAAAAATGCATTATAGGAATTAGACGACGAAATTTTCTTTGCATAATTACACCTTATTTACTACAGCGAGTCTGGTTCTAAAGATGTTTTTTTTTTAGATATCTTTGGAATGGCTCTCAGGAATCAAACGCATTAAAAAATGTATTTACGACACTCTTAGCGATAAAAACTTTTTACTCACGAGCGACATTATCGCTAAATGAATGCAGCGAAGTCTCTTTCTCGTAAATAAAAAATCTTATATGATAAAAACCGCAACGTTTTAAGTTTAATACAGTATTAAAAATAGGACTCTTATGTTTAATATTACAATTATAAATTACTTCTTTATAGGATTATATAAGATGTGTTACCCGTGATTCTATAACTCTACAAATTTTTCGCAATGCAGTGTTCATAAAATGCAACCAAAGTGATGTTCCGTTGATTCCACATAAAATTCTTATATTTAATATTAAGAGTTTTTTATGTTTAATATCAACACGAAAATTTGAACTATGAATAGTTCTTGTATTCGTGCCATTGATCCGAATTCTCAATAATTGTGACAAGAATAATTGTTACAACTGATTGTGAGTCATACGTGATGATTTACCTTCTCGCAAAGGGCTACGAAGGCAGCATGAAACCTGGCAATTTCGCGAAGTGCCAGTATGGAATGGTCTAAATCAAGACTATACATATGATCGGCTATTCGAAAGCTGAGAGAAGCAAGATCTTCGATCACCAGAAACATTGGATTTCCATTTTGCATGTGAAGAATCTTCCCGCTCAAGCGGTGCTTTGACTCTAACAACTTATTCATTTTATCCAAAGTATCTGACATCAACATTTCGATGTGAAAGAGACCTGCTTGTGTGTCCTGTAACAAATTTATTTAAGATAAACAAGTAGAAATCTTTAATCTATTATAATAAGCATGTGATTATTTGTGCTAGAATGGCTTATGTAAGATCTACATAAAATTTGTATAATAGAATGTTCCAAGATTTGAAAAAAATGAAGAATATTTTCTTTAAATACAAAGTAATGCATATACATTCGCTTTCTCATATGTAATTTATAAAAATTTTATTTTAAACATTCATTACTAAAATAATTATCCTAATTTTTCTGTTGAAAAGAAATGTACTGCGAAATAATAAAATTACAATTCTCTCTCTCTCTCTCTCTCTCTCTCTCTCTCTTTCTTTCTCTCTCTCCCCGCCTCCTCCTCCCTTCTTCTCTCTTTTTCTCTATCCTCTTTTTTCTTTTAATAGAAACATTAAACATATTAAATTAATTTCTCCTCCTTTCTTTATTAGAAATATTGTACATATTAAATTATCTTACCATTTTCTGTTGAACACCTTCACGCGAGAGTTTGATAATAATTGATTTTTTCTCTTTAATCTTAGAAGTCGACAGTAATCCTAATCATGTCGCTAGTGTTATTGTCACCCTTCATTGTAGCCGGTTTCGAAAATATATCGATCACTTGAATTGAATTGTCGTTTTCCGATTTTCGCAAAATCTTCTCCACGAAGCATAGATTTAGCCATGTCGCTGTTTCTACGGCCATTTCTGAAAGTGGAGTTGGAAATGGAGAATTTTCTCGAAAAATTATGTCCTCCTCGCCGTTAAAAAAACAATTCTTTGCAGTAACTTATTGTTACGTCCTGCCCTCCGTAAAAATATAGTTCTACTTTCCTCGTTTCTGTTCTTCCGTCTCGCGCTGAATTATTTCCTTTATTTTACTTTTATTATTCTTATTTAATCCCACATCGTCTATCTAAAGTATTCCTATCTAAAGTATTCTATTTAAATGTTAATTAATTGTGGATATTCCTAGCGAGGAACCTATCAGGCGTAGTATGATTCGGTCATGCCGACACCGCGTGACACATGTGCTGCGCGAACCAATCAAAGCACCTGTGATGACAATGTAAATACAATATAACACAATATAACATAAATTACGTAACAGTTACATTGTTAATTGTAAAATTATAAACATTTTATTAATATTATGTTACTTTTAATTAATGTTTATTACATGTTATGCCTCCTACTAGACTTGATGAATGACGAGCTATATCCGCCTTTGAAAGCTCCGCCTTTTTGCACGTGACGATGAATAGCAGAATTCTCATCGGGTATCACTCGTCGCTCATCGCTCACGTCAAGAATGCAATAAGCATTACAATTGTTCGCGAGTTATGTAATGTTTGCAATTTAAACTTTTCTTTTCTCAGAATCTCATATTTTCGAAATGCAATGTATATCAAAGAATTCACTATGATGTTTCAATATTTAGGACTTTATTTAAAATTTTTTTTAATAAATCCCGACTGTATATCAATCTCAAGAGAACAAAAAAAAATTATTTCCTGTAGATGAACTACACTTTTAGAATTTAAAGTGAAATTGATATATATTTGCTATTTCGTGAAAACGAGAACAATTTTCTAATGCGCTCTAATGTAGCTCTATAAAAAAACAGATTTAATAGATACTGATAATAAGCAATACGCTAAAATGACTAACCTGAAATTATTCGTTATCGACTTCAGTCGTTTATTTCTCTTACGTCACTGTACCGTTTCAAAATGCCAACTTCGAAATGATAACGTAGAACAGAATTGATGGGCTTTATAACTATATATCGGTACCAGTCGGTACATTCACACACATTTGTTCATTCATCACAGGCTTTGTATCGATAAATGTTAAAAATACTCAGTTATTCCAATTTCGGTAAAAATATATTCAATTGATGCGTTTTCACATAAAAAGATTGAAAAATGGTCGACCTGTTCTATGAATCGTTAAAGCTACTTATAACGACTATTCAGGTCAGAAAATCTGTCACAGCCAAGTAGTGAGTATGCACTGTGATCACTTGTCCAACATTAATTAATTCCTAAAAATAAATATTCTCTGCTTTAATTACACAAATTTTTAGTTTTAAAAATAAATTCTATGTTTTAAAAACACAAATTATTTTTTTATATAATTTTTGTTTTTAGAGCGGAGAATTTGTTTCTAACGCAGAAAACTTGTGATTTAAAGCGGAGGATTTGTGTTTCTAAAGCAGATAAAAAAACACGATAAGAAACACCTAAAACGCATACGGTCGTAAAAAATACAATTGCAAGGTATATCGCATTGTTGCATTTTATGACATGACATCAGGCGAGCAGATGAGAATCCGAACATGCCCCTACGTGATATTTTTACAGGTTTGAGAATATGAAGTTTGTCAGTATAAAAAAGTTCGTACCGGAAAAGATATGTAAGTTGTAGAAATATTTGGACACGGAGGAAACTCGCGAAATGCATAACTTTTAATATATTGAAATATAGTATATAATACAAATTAATATGAAACCATCATAAAAGAATATTTTTTAATTTTTCAAACCAAAAATACCATTATGTACAATTAAACGTTTATTAGTTAAAAAAAAACCCTTTTTTAAAACGTCAACATTCTATGTCTACTGTTATTAATATTAATGTATTCGTTATATTTACATCTAATATCCTTATTTCCTGGATTTATTTTTTTTTTTTAATTTTAATGTCCTATCACTAAATGTGAAGTATACATTAAAGATCCAGCAAACCCCACTCGTCGTACAATGGCAGTCTTTTTATCAATATTTTTTTAAAAATTTCATTCTTTAAACCTGGATTTATATAAGTACTACTGCCCAGTACTTCATCCAAATCTTTTGCCTCAGCTTTACTGCTCAGCATAAACGGTAAAACGATGAAAGATGTCAACATTCCATAGCTAGCTCTTCGTTTTATGGAAGCTTTCAGTTCTTTCATAGTAGGCGGCTGAGTTTTGCAATTCAATTGTTTCATAGTCGTTGACAAGATGTGAAGATATTCGTTTAATAAAATATCTGTCTTGTGTTCAATAACATCGAAGGAAATACTTGAATTGAGTAAATAGATAAGATCGAGTGCCGCTGATGCATAGGTACACAATTGAAAGTCTACCTGCAATATTAAATAAATATTTTCAATCCATAAATTTTTTAAGTCAATTATATTAGAGGTAAAATCTGTGACACACACACACGTGCGCACAATGAGAGAAGGGTGAGGAGAAGGAAGTAAAACATCATATTCAGGAAGTCGCGATGATAACGTTGATAGCTTATATGGATAACTTCGGCAGACGAATGTTTGCACGATTAAACCGAATATAATGTATTTCTTCAAAACACATTCCATTTTCAAGTTTCTCACCGTCTATTTGTTTTGATTGTTGTAGCTAAAATTGCAGATAATTAAATTCTGCCAACATGTACCGTAATAGTGTCTTTCGAAACAGTATCTATTCAATTAATTTATTGTTATGCAAATTTATATCATTGCATGTAACTATGAAAATTACAATGAAAATTCAGAAATGTAGATAATTGGAATAAAATAACTGAGCTACGTTAATTTGTGTTTATAATAAAATTTATATTCGTCTTAGTATAAAAGATATATTTTCAAAATAAATTTGCTGTTTTAACCCCAACACGCCAAATAACATTTATGTTGCATAAGATGAGCATCTTTTAAATGTCTTGTGTCTAAAAGATATTTTATGCAACACGTTATTTGGGACTCGTCTTATCACATGTAAATTCATACTAAAAGTTTCATGTATAGTTTTATTTAAACTTAGTTTTTATTTAATTTTAGTTCCAATATAAAATCATGATTATAATAAAGTAATGAGTACATATTTGGAGGAAGTACATGATTTTTTATGACGTAATAGTACTTACAAAAATCTGATCAGTAGGTTTGCCATTATTGTCATATTTGAATAACATATTATTCACTTGACAATCACCATGATTAATAACATTAAATTCGTCTTCACAGAGCATATGTACATCTATTCCTATTTGGACCATATGATCAGAAAGTTTAGAAACTTTTTCCGAGTATCTAGCAATAAAAATCAACTAAATGTAAAATTACATTTAAAAAACTTATGTGAAGGTAATATAAATATTTGCACTATACAATGCAACTTGTATTTACATTTGCAATTTTCTTCTTAATATGATCTTTCTCTTCATATTAAATACTTATCTAATGCCATGTATAATAGAATATTGTAAACATTAGTTAAAAAGTAAAGTAATAAACATTGTCATAAATATAAATCTTACTTTTTCGCTTCTGGCCAGTTTGCAATCTCATCTGCTAAAGCTTTAGTACCCATATTGAGGAAAGATTTTATTTCTGGCGACTGATGATTATAATTTGCTTTTAAATACATCTCTTTTTGCGTCGGGTTCTGAGTATTAGAATATTTTTGTTAAGATATGTTTTAATGTATTTATCCATTAAATTATAGAGTTAAATACTTAAGTTTGCAGTAAGAACAGGAAATTCTAGATTACTATATAGATCAATAAGCTACACAAGAAATCTACACAGTAATATACATTTCGCCACGAATTTAAGGCATATCTTTTTTGGAGAAAATTACGAGAGAGCTTAGTACACATGTCGAAAAAATTTTACAAGCAACGTTAAGCAAATTTTTAAAAACGTCCCTTGAAAACAATTTTCTGCTGAGATGAGCGAGTACAAATTGTACACTGCGCAAAAGCGTATTTATAAAAGTGAACGCCAAATTAAGTTTTTTAAAAAATTTTTTTTTTTCTAGCACTATTTATAGATGTTCGTTTCTGTTAAATTTAATTTGTTTCGAAATGAATACTGTATAATAATTAAAAATATTCGTATCAAAATTTGAAATTCTTATTTGGATTGGATGGTTGGCCGAGAAAATATATTTCATATATAATTATATAATTATATTTAATATTAAGAGTTTTTTATGTTTAACATTAATGCTTAAATTGTATCTTTCAATGGCCCTTGCACACATTCCATTGATTTGAATTCTTAATAACTGCATTGAAACGTTGCAACTGATTGTGAGTCATGCGTGGTGATTTACCTTCTCGCATAAGGCAACGGAGGTTGCATGAAACCTGGCAAGTCCACGAAACGCCAATAGAGAATGATCTAAGTCGAGACCAGATGAACGATCAGCCATTCGAAAACCAAGAGATGCGAGATCTTCGATCACTAGAAGCGTTGGATTTTCATTTTGCCCATAAAGAATCTTCGCGCTCAAACGATGCTCCGGTCTTAACAACTTATTCATTTTATCCAAAGTATCGGACATCATCAATATCTCTCTGTGAAAAAGATCTGCTTGTGTGACCTGTGACAAATTTATTTAAGATAAATAAGTAAAACCTTTAATCTAACAGACATGCAATTATTTATAATACAAAGGCCTACATAAAGACCTATATATAAAATTTATGTAGTATAAAGTTTCGAGATTTGTTTTGAAAAACAAATATTGAATGTCTTTCTTAAATACAAAGTAGTGTAATTTTACGAGATTTGCAATATAGATGCATTTGATTTTGAACGCATCCATCACAACGGTTATATACATAATAACAAATTTCAATTATATATTTTTGAACAGTCCATCACACTTTAATAAACCAACTCGTTTTTCTCGCATAATATCAGAGAGAAGTTATTTCTGAATTTTTAAATTTATTTACATCGCAAGTAAATACAAGAAATTGACTCCAAAACGGCGTTTCGAGGCATTATAATTTAATTACAATTGTAACCAAGCTTGTATTTCACATTTTTCAATTGCGTAACATAAATTCAACGTTCATACATTAGTGATTAAAACCGCTTGACGTCTACCTGCTAATTTGCGAGACATTGAGTGCGTTGAATGTATCACTTTATGTAATCGTATTTCTTTCGTGTTATTCTTCTATCGCAACAAAGTATAAAATATATAATATGTCGCATATAATTGAACGTGAGTGCTGTACTAAACGGCTATTATAGTATTTTAATTAATGCAAGTACGTAATTAACAATGTTTTTGCAAGTTTGTATGAATGTCACAAGAAAATGAGAAGCAGTGGAAAAGTTAGAAAGAAGAAAGAAGAAAGAAGCCTGCAAAGTATCGAGCAGAACCTTAAGGTAAATAATTAATTACTTACATGTATCATTTACCGAATTAATTCTCTTTTTATTTAAATGATCTAAATCAGAATATGGGAAAGAGACTCATATTTACGGATTTTTATAAAAGTTTATATTCAAAAAAATTATGCAATGTTCCTCGGAAATTACATAATTACTTTAATAAATGTTAATTAAAAAAAAACGGAAAAAATTCTGAACGGATATTCTTTCAAATATCAAATATTATCAGTGGATGTAATTTTTTATTTTAATTTTAAGAAATATAGATAATAAATCTATGAATTACGTCTAGATAAAATTTGTTTATAAATCTATTATCTCTCTCTCTCTCTCTCTCTCTCTCTCTCTCTCTCTCTCTCTATTATTTTTTCTCTTTTGATATTAGAAATATTATATATATTAAAGCAATTTCTCTTCGTCTATTAAAAACAATGTACACATTAAATTAACTTACGATCTTCTGTCGAATACCGTCTACAGGTGTGAGTTTAATAATAATGGATTTGGTTCCTTTAATTTTAGAGTTATGTAAATATTCGGCAGTAATTCTAATCATGTCACTAGTGTAGTTGTCACCCTTGCTTGTAGCCGGTTTCGAAACTATATTGATTACTTTAATCGAATCATCGTTTTCCGACTTTCGCAGGATCTTCTCCACAAAGCATAGATTTATGTTGCGATCTAACCATGATGTTTCTAGCGTCATTTCTGAAAATGGAATTGGAATTAGAGATATTTCTCAAAAAATCATGTCCTTTTCGCTGTGTTACAGAACAAAAACAATTTAACTTAAACAATTAATTACAACAGTTCCAATATGTAAAAACATTCAATTAAAATGTATTAGGAGCTGAGAGTCAATATTGGATGTAAGTTGCTAAATCTTATATTTATAAACCGCAAGGAAATTTTTCAGTAGTTACAAACAACACAGAAATTATTTTTATAATTTAATAGCATGATTATCTCTATAATATTTATCTTTGTTATTTGTTAATGGAAAATATAAGATGATGACGTTTGTAATAACCGGCTCTAAGTTCCGGGTTGTTCTACTTGTTATAGTTACTGGAATCAGTTCTGCTCCTGTAATAAGTCGATAGTCCTAAGTCTTGACAATATAGCTGACCAATAACGAACTTGTACGAATAATGCTGATTGGTCAACTTCACTGGTTAAGGCTTATAGCGAATTCGATTGGACGCACTTAGTACGCACTGGTGCACATTAAAACTGTTATACACAAAATAACATAAAAAATATGTAAATATAGAAATCGATTAAATTCTGAAATAATTAATACATTTTATTATATTATTAAGTAATTATGTATTTTATAATTTGAAATATGCATTTCACTTTTATACTTAAACGAAATCAGTGTACAAGAATTTCAATATGCACTAGCGTGCACTAGTTCTTGTAATCGAATTCACCATTAGACTTCCGATTACAGAGTCATTGTAGAGTCAACATTACTAGATCTAGATTTCAAAATATAACGCATATAATTAAAGAAAATATAAAAAAATATGCATGACATAACTTTATTAATAATTTTCAGATATTATGTGTATAATATGTGATTATTATAAACATGTATAGATACATATTAATTATAATGTTATTTGATTATTTGTAAACAACAATAACAAACAACAATATTTACATATTTGAATTGTTGCTTAAGCTTTAGCAAAAAATATATTTGAAGAAATGAATATATATATTTATGTCTTCAAACATGTTAAACTGTAAATTATTACTCGTAAAGTAAAAAAATAATTGAATTTATACGATATATAATAATATATGATATAGTAAATTGAATAATACATACTACATTTAATATATTTTTGCAATTTTAAGTGTATATATTAATATGCCCCGTATATCAACTATCCTTTATTTATTAGATATTTATTTATTAGATATTTATTAGATATTTCGTAAAAGTAAGAAAAAAAGTTCTAATGCTGCATCTTAATGCAGAAATAAAAAACGGCTCTAAAAAAAGTATTGATAAAAAGTATTACACTAAAAGTACTAACCTAACGTTTTATTCGTCTTTATCTTCAGTTATTAATTTCTCTTAATTGACTGTTCCGTTTCGTAAGTCAGCTTTAAAATGATACACGCAGGACTAAATTTATAGGCTTTATATCTATTGTACATTAGATGAGTCTTTCAATCAAGCAATAAGCGCTAAATCTACAGATATGATAAGCGGTAACAAGTGATGATAAGTGATAACAGCGATGATAAGACGATAATACGTATGATGTGTAGAAAATTAATTAATATATGCTATAAAAAAAATTGTACAGTAAGCAATATTACGATATATGGGCAAGTCATCATTATCTTTATTTAGTTCTTGTTTCACCAATAGATAAATTGATAAAATTCCAAAATGGCAATATGAGTTGACGAAAAATTTCGCAATTGCATTAAAATAATTTACTATTATGCAACAGTTTTATCAAAAAGATTTCTAAATAATATTTGAAACAAAATTAATTAACACGAATTCTAAATAATATTTACAAAAAATTAAACAAATCCAATTTGAGGTGTAAATATTTTAATAATTTCATCACCGATCCGATGTGCAACAAACGTTTTTCAGTCACACTGCAGTTATGATGATTGACACTGTTTTTAAAAAATCAGAAGATTCTGAAAAAATATACGCTCAAAATGACTATTGTTTCGAAACAATATAATTCTTACACGCATCGCATTTTTTACTCGCATTTTACAATTAGATATTTACAAGAGGCAATTATCTTTCGATTTACTTAGAGTATACATTCTAAGCCGTATTCTTATTCTCACCTGTATGCCTCGGATGACATCCGGTGAGCAGGTGAGAATCCGAACATGCTTCTACGTGATATTTTTACAGGATTGAGAATATAATGTCTTCTAGTATAAAAAGTTCGTAACAGAAAAAGATATGTAAGTTGTAAAAATATTTATTTCACGTATTTGCACAAAAAACAAAAATAATGAAAATTTCAAACAGATACAAAGTATATATTTACTAATCTTGTATTTATTAAAGCATAATATTAAAGTGAAATAGGAATATAATCGATATAGTAAACATAATATTGTTATATATAATGTATAATATATAATACATATCAATATTAATAGATATGTGATAGATATATAATGAAATATAGTCGGTGTCGGTGTCGGTATCGGTTAAATTATCAATGTGTATCGACGGGCGAGAGATAGAAGATAATCACAACAACGCTTGCGCAGCTGTTATACAATATACATCTTTTAGCTCAAACGGTGTAAAATTTATACCTCTAAGTCAAACAAAGACAGATAAATATGAATTGAATAAAAAATATTTTATTTCCAATTAATTACAATACTTCAAAGAAACTTTATTGAAAAAATTTACAAAAAATGACCACTTCGGATATAAAATTCTCAAATTTTAAATTTAATGTTCAAGTAAAAACCTGTAGGATTTTTTTTGGTTAATCCTTTGGATTAAAAAAAATAGTACGATATAAATCGCTCAAAAAAGTATAATTATTTGAACTATCAAAAATCGACATTTTTTAAAACTCTACATATTGTAAGTTTACAATTAATAAATAAAATTTTATTATTTGAACATATAAAATAGTAGATAAAAAATTGTACATGTATCAATATTATTATAGTATATATAATTAAATTTATTAAGATTTAGTTTAGAGAATGATACAACACTCGCTCTAAAGCAATACATCCGC